CACCAAACTAGACCAACAGATAGCTGAGTACATCGTGTCTTATCTATCCTCTCCTCAATAATTTAAATTGGTTTTACTGAACACTACATTACATATTTGTGTGATGCCATTAGTCTACACTGAGGGTCACTATGTGAAAATGTCCTAATAACAATCATCAGTGGATTTCCTTGTTTTCTCCAAATCATGCAAATATTTGTGCCACTAGTTGTACTTCTTTTAAGCAGATGGTTTGTTCTTTTATCTTATGGACACTGTGAATAATGTAATGAACAAGGGTTTCTATTTCCTTTGGCAACTAGGAAGCTTAGAGCCAAATTAAAGGCCTTGCCTCAGAAATACTGTAAGCATGGTATATATACCTGCAGCATTATTTCTGGCTCCACTCTGTACTCATCCTCATTGTTCTTTCTTATCTTGCCACAATCAATTTACCCAATCCTGTCATATGAAGGCATCTCTCCAAATTACTTCTAGACAATATATGAGTGAATGAAATATAAGGATAAAACATATAGATAAAAAAGGTACATACCCTTAATGGCAGTTGGTTACTTACCTTTGCTCTTCCTGATAAAGACTTTATTGAAATCAGAGTAAATTTCAAAGAAATAATTTAATTCAGAGAAATCAGATTCCATGCAAACCAGTAAGCTAACAACTGGGTCACAACAAGCAAATACATGTGGATATGACCTGATGATCAGAGAATTGGCTGGCTTAAATATCTAAGCAGGCTGAGTTTCACTGAAATGTCCACAAATCCGGGGTTTCTGACCAAGCATGCTGGGTTTAGGATTCAGGTGCAGACTACCATCTTAGGGATCAACTTTTAGGAAATCTAAAGCTTTATCTTAATAACCAAACCATTTTGTGGAAAAAGTGTAAGGGAAAGGAGAGGAAGCAAGAAGGTATTATTTTCATATCCTTATGCTCCTTTCTCCAGAATATTCTTAAGTTACCTGGAAAGTAGCTAAGAAATATATATATATATATATATTTTAAAGACACCCAGGTTTGAGTAATTAATTCTAGATACAATCTATGCTGAAAGTCTAGACTTTCTACAATCTGCCATCTTGCACCTTTAGTCTTTTTTTTTCTGGCTCAGTTCTTGTTAGAGCTAGGGAATAGTAAGTAACTAAAGGAACTAAGAATAAAAGGGTTTATATAAACCTTCATGTTCACACTTTAGGGAAGATAACATTCAGTGTTTTCTAACTAGTGGCACACTAGCTGAGTAGATAGGTGTGAGAAAGAAGAAGGATTTGGTAATAACACCCGAACTTCATGGGGATACTTGAACTACCTTTACAAACCTACAAGTGACCCAGTTCCTGTTATGCCTCAAAACGATTAATGAATCACAATGCTTACAGAAATAGTCATGACTTCTCGGGCATTCAAAGCCTACTTTTACTCCAAGAATACCCTGAAGCATACCTTTAACATAAGGTATATGAATCAGAAAAAAAAATTATTCTAATTTTATTCATTTTTTCCTTCTTTTTCAAACTCCCTCTCATCTCTTAAAATGTTCATCTCACCTATATATTTGTCTTCTACCAAACCATTCATCTTCCTCACCCTTTATCCTACAAATGACATGCCTTGTTATACAGCTGGCAGGGACAAACACTGTTCTTTCTACCTAGAAGCCATCCTTCCTCTTACAAATCAGTGTGGCACCAGACTTTCAGTGTTCAAAACACTTGTCTAAAGGTATCATAAATTTACTTCTAACCCCCTGAGGCAGGATAATGATAATCTGCCTTCATATGTAACTTCTACCAATTAGTCCTAGTTTTTCTTTCATTATTTCTATGGATATGCAGAACCTTTCACAAGAGCGTTTAAAATATTCGAAGCCAAAAACAGTATCATCTTAAGGATCCTGGAATATCTGAAGTGCAGGAAGCTCATGTTTTTCAAATGAGTTTTCCAGGGAATCTAATCAAACTAAGACTACAACCCTTTTCTTCCAAGATCTCTCTAACCTGTTCTCTGCTCTTATTCTAATCATGACTTAAAAACCTGGGCAGTCGCAGACATTTCTAGTCACTTAGGGCCCCTGGATATAGGATAGAAAACTCTTACATAGACCAGCACTACTCAGGCACTAAGAAATGACAACAAAAAACATGGCAGGAGGGCAAAATAATTACTTTTCACATCCTGGATCACAGGTAAAACAATGTGCCTTATTTAATAAATAGTAAGTACTAATTAATAACTCTTAATAATTTAGTAATAATCCTTAATAAGGGTCTGCCATGGCTCCTGGTGAAAAAAACTGTTATGTTTGCTTTATGTACTAGGATAAGAAAAGTGTATTAGAGCATATTAAGTAATGGATTTGTATAATCTACCAAAATTTTAATGAGATACTTGAGTAGGCTTGGTTTACAGAGAGAGCCACACAAACAGTGTTCAAATAGAACTGTAACTGTGGTAAATTTCTGCATGGTTTGAAAAATAATTTTATCACTCTGAAAACTTATAATAATAATTAAATACCGAGAGTCAAGTAATTAATCCCTCCTCAGCTGGGAAGCTCATTCTTAGAAGAACATGACTCCCTGCGAAGAAATGACTGCTTGCAGGCTCTTCCTTTCCTCCTCCTCCCTTTCTGCCTCCTTCATTCCCTCCTTCCTTTCTCTTTCTTTCAGTATTTCATTCTAACATAGTTTTTCGTTGACTTTAATTGATAATCCTTTTGCTTCACTGGGCTGCCTCAAGGCCTAAAGATCTGCTAAACCACTCACTCATCCTATCAATAATAACACTCCAGTGCTCAGAAAGCAAGTCAGAATTGGACAGTCCACAGGAAGTGGGAAGAAGGGGCACTGCATTTAAGGGGCAGAAACTAGCAGGACTGAAGGCAACTGCTCTACTCATCCTGTTGCAAAAAGGTATGTGTGGGGGGGTGGGGGGAGTGGGAGGGATCTTGAAGTGCCGAATGGCCTGTGTTTGGTCCTCAGTTTTACTTCATTTTCTAAACCTCTAGGACTTTAGCGTTCCCTAGCAACAGAAGCAAAGGATCAATTTAGAAAAGTGCTTTCCAGAGCATTCCTATCTAGCTACTGACCAAGCCATTTTAGTTTATGTGATCAAGCAATTGAAATTCAAGGAGATTTATCACTGACTGTCCTCGGCAGCAAAACTGGGAGAGCACCACTTGATATGTATGCTACAAATGTCTAAGATGACTGATTCTACCTCCACTGCACAAGCATGGATTGGTTTCAGTAAGAATTAGTAGTCTCTGCATCTCACTGTGAGCCGACAGTGTTGCTAGGGAAACTGATAATTATGTGGCAAAATGGAGGGTGTAGAATAGGAAAAGGGTTCAGAAGAAATATAAGGTTTTGATCCAAATCAGCATGTTAATAGTAGAGTTGTTGATCTTCTGTAGTCCCATAATTTAATAAATACCATCAATTATATGTTTGACAAGATACAGATTTCTGAATGGAAATAAATGAACAGAAATGAACTGAACATTGGAAAGCCACTGGCTACTGATCATACTTGGTGCATGTCACAGCAGAAACACTTATTTATTATAAACTACAATTAACTTAATGGAATGAAAATAGTCAAAAAGGTGAAAAAAAACATTGATTTTTTTTTTCTGACCTTTTTCTTTAGAAATCAATCTTCTGGAGTTTCAGATATAAAAATTATAATCCTATAAAAGCTTTTATTCACCTCAGTGACCAAGTCACATAACCTCAAAACACCCGTTAGTATGAAGAAAACAGAAGTGTTACTATTTTTATATTATACATAGTAAAACCAATCCAGAGATGTTAAATGACCTTCCTGAAGACACACAGCTCTTCAGTTAGTGGTAATGCTGGTGCTAAACACTACTCTTTAAGCTACCCAGGGGGCATTATTTACACATTATATTTTATTAAGGGAAAGCCCAGCAAAAAGATATAAATGTAGTAAATGGTCTCGAATTTCTAGATCGCACTTTAATGTTAAATGAAGATTTCCAATACTTTTTATTTTTAATGGTTAAGAGCGCAGTTCTAAAAGTTAATGATATGATATAAACACTTGTGTATCAAGAGAAGTCTCATTGGAGACATTTCAATATGTGAGAAAGATCATCAGAGAACTAAACCAGTTGCTCATTAGTGAACAGTTTCCCTGCATTGTCAAATCACCACCTGTGAGTTGTCTGGTGTTGCTTCACAACATTCTTTTCCTTTCCCTTTTTCCGGGAACTATTAGGTAAAAACTTCAAAAGATGAAACCAAAGGTTTTATATCCTCCTGTGTATTTATCTTTATAAACTCTTATATATTTTCTAATTTATAAATATACTATAGATATTAAAACATTCATTCACATTCATATACACACAACCTCTGTACGGATGTGTGTTTGTGTGAGAAACAAGTGACCGTTTTATGGCTGGTGCATAAAATAAGACAAACATTCACGATTGCAAATGTTTCCAGGGTTTTGGTCTTATTTGCTCTTTGACAGGAAAGACTGAGAAGTATAGAGAGGACACCAAGGTAAGAGCACAAAACTATACAGAACTTCTTAACTCAATGAATTCAAGTGCTAGATGTAGGGAGTCAGCCTTCTGATGTTAGGAAAAAGATTTTCATTCTAATGACTTAAAAGTTGCAAGATTTACTTATTAATACATAAGTAGTAGCTCACCCTAGATGGGATGAACTATCATGGTAAGGTAGTTTATTTACTTATATTTTTAAGGTAGTTCATTAAGTCTATCAATATTATGATGACTTAAAAATATTTGGCTTAAGTTGCAATTTTGTTATTTCCTTTCATCAAGGCACTGGTTTTTGATAAAACAAGAGCCAAATGATGGGTTTTTATTTTGATAAGCCTTTTCTTCTTTCTCATGGCAGGAAGGTTGTCTCAACTTTTAAATCTCTGGGTAAGAAAAAGAAGAATGTGAGGCCAAATTTTATAGTCATTGGAAACAATTTTTGTGGTTGGTTTAAACAAACCTTGACTTAGGCCATCTTGACAAGATGTCTGCTTGACATCCAAATTCTCCATGGTATCTCCTTTAGAGACGTCACCAAGAGATGTTCTTCTTTCAAAGATGTTGTTGTTATTGTTAACTTGAGTCCCATTTTGCTTCAGTAGTCTGAACACCTCAGCTTCCAAATCTCTAATCTAAGGGGGAAAAAAAAATCCATCCATAAAACTCTAAGCCAGCACTCCTCTCTAAGTACTCAGCAAAACCATCCTATTACTTAGTGGTTTTAAGCACATAACTCACCCGTACTTGCAGACCTTGAACTTCCACAAGATGAGCTTTTTCCAAATCTTCTATTTTCTTTCTTTCTGCTTCCTGTCTCTTGATGAAATCAAGTTCTCTTAAGAAAAAAATAAAAGATCTGATGGCATCAAATACTCAATAACTGAGGAAACATGTGAAAGTTCTTATCTGAAGCAATAAACTGCACAGTGGGACAAATAACTGGGCAGCTATTTAAATAAACAAGACTCAATCACAGAAGAAAGCTGTCTAGTAACGAAAGCAAATAAAACATTTAAATGGATTGGAAATTAAAGAAGAATGCTTGGATTCTGCTTACTGGGGTTTTCGTTTGTTACCTCCTGATTCTAGGGCACCCATACAGGTCTAGAAAGAAGCTTCTGAACTAACGACCCACCTTGGCTGATTTAGTGGAAATGACTACATGTCACACAGTCATAATGCCATATTTATAAAGTCATACTTCCTAAACTGATGGGACTGGATGGTAAGAGTTTACAGAAGATAATTACAATTTGCTTTCTACGAATGACAGCGGCGAAGGACTGGGCAGGTCAGAAACACTGAGGGGGAGCCGTCGCTTACACACCAGCGGATAATATGGGGAGGAGAAAATATCTCCATTTTGAGAGCCTGGAATACAATCTGCAAATCTGGCAACATTTACTATAGAAGTTATCACATGAAATACAATTAGGTATGACATTTTTGGCTGGAAGAGTTAAAATAGCGATGTACTGGATTCATGACCACAAAGAGTAATTTCCCCTTTTTCACAATAAATATTTTATAGCAGTCTACTTTAAATATGAAAAATATTATTTCTGTGATAGGAAGTAACAGAGACATCGTGAATCTTACACATATGCTTAGCTTCTAAGGCTTGGCCTGGAAGACCAGAAGTGGTCGGGCACGACTCTATTGTTCTGGCTGGCCAGAGGTACCTGATGAAAAACATCCAGTAACCATCTCCCTGAAATTACACCAAAATCCAACAGAGGGAAGCAAAGCAGCACTCGTGTGGAAAGAGCTGATGAGATTCAAAAGCAGAGTGTGCTGCTGGACTCTCTCACTGCAGTGAACTGAGCCCCTGGTGATTCTCTCAACAGCTGAGCAACGGAAAATGGGAGGGCAGGGGTCTTGCTAGTCGAGATTTACACTATCTGAGGTGGGAAAGTTCTGCAGTCCCTGATTCTAAGAACAGAGATAGAGGCAGCCTCCACAAGGCCCCAGTTGCTGCTTTGCAATGGTCAGTCATTCTGCGTGCCTTCGACGGGGCTTCTTGCTTCCTACTCAGAGCTGTTCCCAAAAGGACATAGATTTACACGTTTTCATAGTTACTAGGAATGACTGACTATCAAAAAGAAACCAGCGGGTAACCAACAGGCAAAAACTGTAAAATAAACCAAATATAATCTCACATGAAAAAATGATAGAAGTGATTTCCAAAACTGAATGTCTGAATGCTTAAAGGATCACCAAGATTATCTTTTCTATTCTGTTAGATGTTACAACATCACTGGATACGAGACTTCTTTAGATGCACCCAACTATTCCTTAGTCATTAGAAGCTGCTTACTTTTGTTGAAAATCCTTGATCAATTTCTTTGCTTTGTTGTATTTCTTCTCCAAGGCCTGATACTGGCTCTGAGTCTCCTTGAGGTGCTCGTTCACTGTGTGGCATAAGGTCTGAGCCTCAATCCAGTAGCTCTCCAACTTCAGCATTCTCTCTTTATTCTCTTCTATGTTCTGTTGGAGTTGGGTTTTTTCTAGCTCCCACCTCACTTTCTCATTTTCTGCTGCTTGCAGCTGGATAAAGCAAATGTCAAGGCAAGGATAGTCTGGGTATTCTGCAGCAAAATCCGTCATGCTTTTATAGCATGTTTTAAATCAAGTTCCATTGTCACCTAGACTCAATCATCTAGAACCTTGAGATGAGAAGAGTAAGACTTATTTTCAGCATTTCAGAGATTACGAAATGGAAGCCTTGAAAAGGGAAATGCTTTGTCCAACTGAGGTTACACATCTGAGAAATAATAAAACCTGGATTTGATTTCCCCTCCCATGATCTTTCCATTGCACCATGTGGTTTGAAACTCTGTGAGCAGTACATACTGTTTTAGAGTTTGACTGGATTCTACCCAATGAACTTCAATGTACCTTCTTTTAGACGTTTTTCCTACATATAATTAGATGTAAAAAAACTAATTGAAAAGTGGAAGGGGGAGAGGCACACTGGGAAGGAGAGAGGGGCAGAAGCACAGTTTGGCCTAATAGTTAAGAAGGGGTCTCTGGAGTCATTCAGTTTAGAGTTGAAGCCCAGCTCTACCATTAGTGGCCTTTAAACCTTGGGCAAGTAATTGAAGCTCTCCAAGACTCAGGTATATTATCTATAAGATGGAATTGTGATGTACCACAACAGCATGCCTGGAACAGCTCCGTGGGCATAATCTGATAAATGTTAGTTATTTTTACTTTGTTTTTTATCCCTTTTAATAATATGATTACATCCTTTATTTCAACTGACATGAACATAGTCTGTAGCTCATTATTTTGCTGGCACTGCTCTGAATTTCCAGAGCCTTATAAACTTCAATTTGCATAAAAGTGTAAAAGATAGTGTAAGTAAAAATATAAATCATTGCTGACTTATTTTAAATCCCTCTCATGGAACAAAAAGGCAGCTTCCTGTGTTTCTGCTTCCAGAGACTCTTAAGAATAGATAGTATACTACTCCAACCGCCTTATTTCTATGGAAATTCAAGGCTGATCCTTTAGGTAAGGGGTCAAAGGTCATTTATTCACACTAATGGACCTTTAAACTAGTGCTTCATCTAGTTCACATGCTTCCTTTCAAGTTCAAAAGGATGTAGTCATTATAAACTAACAATTTTCAAAATCGAAGACATCCCCAAACCATACCACATTCAGCAAATAAATATATATATATCTTTTAAACTAAATAGTTTATATTTTAAACTAAATACATTGACAAAACAGATTACAAAGTAAAAAAATAAAAAACATTTCAAAATTAGGAATTCCATTATCAACATGGATATAAAGTGTCACAATAAAGTAAGCTACTATAGCTATTACATGCCAATATAATAAAGAGAAAAATACAAAATACTAATTTATAGGATTTTCTAAATTAAATGTTTTTGGTCTAACATAAGCTTTGTTAAAGCACTTACAATACACAGGGGAATCTTTCTCCCTGGTTATAACCAACAATTAAAAAAAATCTATTCTTCCATTCTGTGCTAAGAAACAATAGCAATTTAAAACAAGACTAGGTTTTTCCTGCATCTTTTATTAAGCAATGTTTTGTATTCAAGTTGTTTATTTACCAACCACTACTAATTTAAAAATGATTATTCACAGAGCTTGGCTGACACCATGAATGATGTATAGACATGTTTTGGCTTAAGAGCTACAGAGTTATTAGCTGAGAATACCATTTAACCAAAACAGCCCTGCTAATTCATCTCCATTTAAAACACATGGAAAAACCAAAATAAGTGTTCAATGTGAACAGGAAAACAGATCATTAGTGGTGGAGGCAGAAATTATGTCTTAGTTTTTAAAAGACCACAAAAACAATAAAGAATATTATTTTTAAAGTAATTCAAAAAATATTTTTAAATCCTTGAAATTACATATTTGATAAACCTAGACACAATTCTAGGAATTTACAAGTACCTTATAATTTACCAACTAAACGCCCTTTCGCATCTTGTATTATTTCATATATAAACTAAAAATACATACTCCCCTTTTATCAAGACCTGTTTTTTTTCCACAAATTTAAATAATGCAAACTAAACTTGTCTAAAAATTTCCAGTAGCATCTGGCATCTAAAATCAATTATTCACATATCATATTAAATTTCGTAATATTTAATTATTAGAAATTGGAATTTTTTTCTATGAAAACATATTAATGTGCTACATTAAAATACATTGTTTCTGATGAAGAATTTAAAAATAAGTAAATGAATAAACCTATTTAAAGTAAGATAAATAAAGAGAAAGAGATACAGTGTAATAGCTTGTATAGTAACAGCATAATTAGTGGTCAAAACATAATTCAGATGCTAGAACCATTAACATTATTTAATTTTTGAGGAACTCTCAGAGGGAACTGGCCACATATGTGCAAATATGTAAATATGTATTTTTAAAACGTCGTGCTATTTTCACTGAGGGAGTCTGGTGGTGCTTACCCCCTAGGGGCATGTGTCTCACTGGCAGGTCTGTCTACTTATCTAACAGTGGAAATGAACCTCTCACATTTGTACTCTTTCAAATGCATAGGAACAAATCCTTTAGTCCTAGGGTTGAACTTATTCATAGCGTCCGAAGTTTAAAAAGTACAATTCAAACACCATTTAATGGTGCTTACCTTGGTCTTCAATTTTTGAATCTCTGCTTCTGTAACTGCATGTTTGATTTGCAACTGGAAATTGAAAAGAAAGAAAAAAATCTGAACTAAGAAAGTGTATCTATATTTTGGAAGCCTTGGCGGCTAGAAGAATACCTTATTACATAGCAGACGGCCCAGGAAAGTGCTGCAATGCAGCAGGCTGTAAATTAAAATGTCTAGTGTGTAAAATGACTCACTAGGTGCACACTAATGAAACACGGGGTCTATGGCCCACACTCCCTAACGGATTAGGTTACGAATTTTATTTCTCGGGGACTAAAGACAACACATTTTCTAGCCCTCTCTGCAGCTCTTCCTCTACGGTTTGGGAGTCAGGGAACTGTTGCAGAGCCGGGAGCCTTGTGGACCGCCCGGTTCGGGCAGGCAAGCGGGCCCGGGGCAGCGCGGAGATCCGATTCCGAATCTGGAAGAGAGATGGCGCTATGGTTCCGCGAGTCCCACGCACCGAAGGCCGAGCAGCTCCTCCGCAGCTCCGGCAGCTGCCAGACGAAGACCAGGATGCTGCAGTTCCACAGCGACATCGGTGGTGGTTGTTGTTGTTTTTAATTGCAGGAAAGGTACAGATCCGGATTTCTGTCCCCCCACAAATCGACTCCTATGGAGGACCTAGACCCCCAAAAGCTTTGGCTGCAGTTTATTAGCACGCGAGCCGCCGTTTCCATTTGTCTGACTTCTCCCCTCCCCCCACTTTGTTTTCTCTGTAAGGGTGAGATGAGAAGAACAAACGAAACATTCATTTCCTCCAGGGATAAAGAAATGCACCAATATTTACAGAAAACAGTCTGCGGGTTGAAAGTCTCTTCTCCGAAATCCTTGGGGCCAGATGTCTTTAGAATTCAGAATTCTTCCAATTTCAGAAAGGCAGGGAGATGCATTTTCCATAAATTGCCTATTACCCACAGCTTGGTCCATGGAGGCACTCTGTGATCAAATACCCGAGTATTTTTGCCACCAAACATACGTATTTCCCACTAAGTGAGGTAAATAATAGAGACCATAAATAGCATCCTGTCTGTTTTGGTCTGGTTTCCCACCAAATGAGTTTGCCACAAAATTATTTTAAACTGTTTTCAGAGCATTTTGGATTTAGAATTGTACAAGAAGGGCTGCGAATGTCTAATATTGCTATGATCAAATGAGTCTAAAGTCTGTTTTTTTTTTTTAAGATTTTATTTAAATCTTTAAATGAGATAGAGAATGAGATAGAGAGAGCATGAGAGGGGGGAGGGTCAGGGGAGAAGCAGACTCCCTGCTGAGCAGGGAGCCTGACGTGGGACTCGATCCCGGGACTCCAGGATCATGACCTGAGCCGAAGGCAGTCGCTTAACCAACTGAGCCACCCAGGCGCCCTCGAGTCTAAAGTTTTCTTACCAGAAAAACTTAAGTCAGTTGATGGGAGGATAGAAACGTGCACCTTGGAGGTCAGGACACCTCACAAAGCTCAGCGATCTTTGGTTTATGACTTGCTTTTCCCTGGTTTTCAGCCAGCTAGCTGGGGCACAGGGGAAAGATGGAGAGGGATGCTTGCTCCTGCATGCTGTCGGGTCTCCTGTTATGATTAAGGCCCTGTGGTCTACACTGCTACAGCTCTGCTACTGCTCTCGGTCCTGAGGTGGTGGTGGGGCGGGCGGGGGGGGATTCTTGAAACTTTTAAATTTGATTCTGCCCCACTCTCATCATTTCTCTTTCTTTACCACTTCCTGATCTGCACACTCCTGCAGTCTCGCCAATGTGGACCTTGCTCCTTCCACCTTCACTGGTTCACAGGGGCTCCTGAGTTCTAACAGTCTCTGGACAGGAAGGAGTCTCTGTGCGGCTGTCATTCCTTTATGAGGCCCCTAACAGGCAGTCCTGGCTCTCTCGGTTTCTCTCCATAGCCTTAGTGGTACAACGCTTAACCTACCTACTTGGTTGCTCAGAGCAACAATGTGCCAGGCAAGTGCTGCTCCAAATTCATGGCAACTCCCTTCCACCTCCCTGATGAGGTCTGAGCTTACCAACAAAGCCCTAGTCTGGATGAATCTCTCAGGACCTGACAATGCCAGGCAACCCGGCCTCACATGCTCAAATGACCAAGTGTATGTATAACTCCAGCTCTGAGCCCTACAGTGAACATGTTACTTGCAGAATCACCAATCCTGGCATTTCTGGCCTCCCTTGAAGATGTGAAAAACTAGGGCACGTAGATGAAAACTGACTTGGCTTAGTTGTTACAGTGAATTGCTGTTAAAACCACGACTAGAACCTAGAGCTTCTGGTTCCTGATCCAGGCCATTTTCCTTAGAAAATAAGGATTGAGTCAATAGGCATTTATTGAAGAGCTGCTATGGGCAAGATGCTATGAGGAGAAAGGATGACTCTTTCCCCTTCTAATAAATACCAGTGCTCATCTCCTCCACCAATAGAAACCTAATAAACTGAAAATGGCAAGATACTTGGATATTAGACATGCTACGTTATATATATAAATATATCCATGTACACATGCACACATCTAGGCTGTCGGGAATTATTTTCTGTGGAGATCTTATACTTCGGTGCGCACACACTTGGGCATCCAGCAAATCCATGTGCCTAGGTGATTCTGAAGTATCTGGGATTGTTACTGACAAGAAGAGTGACTCCGTGATCTTTCTACCACGGCCAAGTGTGAAGCTAGACTGAATTCATCTCAGGCCTACCATGAACGGACTCCATGACGTTGGAAAATCACCGAACCTCTCTTACCTTCACTTTGCTCACTTGCACAATGCAGTTCCTCATAGGTCATAACCTTCTTTACTGGAAGATTAAATGAGATAACCCATGTAAAGCTTTTAGCACAAGCGGCTAGCACAGAATAAGCCATTTAAAGTTAGCCCAGACTAAGACAAGAATGATCTGAAGAACTCAAACGTAATTACCACCAGCACACTTCTTAGTCAAGAGTGCTAAATTCTGTAAAATGTCACACCTGAAATAAAACAAACACCTCTGCTTCTATTTGAAGAGTAGCAAGAAACCAAAAGGGCAGATTTTACGACGAACGCTGCAACCATGGGGAAGTGCCAGATTTGATTTTCTCGTGGCCGACTCCCTTCAACTGCAGGGAACCAAGTATATGGCATGCAGCTTTGCTGGGACGTGGGATTGTCTTTGTGCAGATCACTGTGACCGACAGCAAGCTGCTTCTCCGGGCCCCGGCTGCCCATACGAAAAATGAGAGACCTGGATGGGAAGAACTCCAAGGCCCTTGCAAATACTACAGGTATGACATTTACGAAATGAAGAGCCTGGAGATGGTTGTCATGGTTGCAGAGTCTAGAAATTCCTGTCTCAAGTGAGCATGTTTATTCCTATGAAGACATATATAGATTAATCCACTGATGTGCGGGGCAAACCCAGGTAAAACTGAAACTGCCAGGTTGTTCTCCAAATATCCCACCCTCCCCTCCCACCGAAATGGGTAACAGAAGACAGGGGAACTCATTAGTGGTGAAGGCAGAGCACTGATAAAAGCTTGGAGTGCTACTAAGTACAGCCAAATTCTGTGGATATAGGAAAACAGACTGAGGTCTGTCGACTCAGACATTATTTAGGAGATGGACAAAAGTTTTAGCTCAATGTTTTCTCAGAATTCCCAAGGCCTAAAATGACAAGACATGTAATTATTTTAAGGCTGTATGCACATTAAGAGAATTTCTACAAACCCATCTCTATTAACAGGAAAAGTACCAAAAATAAACTAATCGAACCTTCATTTTACGTAGGAAGAAACTGTTTCAGTAGTGCATGCTGCAGAGCTAGTAAGTGTCAGAGCCAGGTTTTGAACACTTCAGTCCACGGTTCCTTCCACTAAATATCTTACATTTGTAGGACGCTTCATCTTTTTTATCATCTCCTTTATCATTGCAAATGAGTCTGTGAGAGAAGGCAGACAGACACAGTCCACCTCATTGTTCAGACGGGGACAGAGGCCCAGACAAGTTACATGGCTTCTTCAAGTTCCCAGTGGAAGCAGGTGCTGCAGTGGAAAATATCTCAGGTCTGACTCTCCCTGCCTCTCTTCACCATGCACCTAAATCAGCTAATTCCCACAAAAACTCTCGAGCCTTATATCATCATTGTGACTTCCTGGCTGAGGACGTATTACTCCTCCTGGAAACCATGGATCACTTCTGGTAGTCTCTGAGTGTTCTGACACTAAATACAAAATGGCGCTCCATCAGCTACTGTTATTATTCGTGGAAGTTAGGAAGAAATAGCTCTCTCATTATTCAACTTGCATTTACCTAATGACACTGTGCTGTGCTTGTCACATGACACAGAACCTACCTTCAAAACACTTACTTTAGGAGATTAATAAAGACCACCTTCTGAAAGAAGTTCCTAGATCACCCCGAGAGAAACATCACAGGGAACCTGCTGCTAGATGGCTTGATTAATCTTTAGTCCCATAGCCGGGTCAGATGACCCTTAGGCTCTGGCCTATTTGTCTTATCTCCCACTTTGGCATATGGGCAGGATGAGACAGAGATACCTCTATTTCACAGAGAAAGGAAGAGAAAATTGCTTTTCAAAGAGGTGAAGTGACTTGACAACAGAAGCACAGTTGGTGAAAGGTCGTGTTTTCTCATTCTAGAGCAATTCTCTCTCCATGTGTTTAATAACCCTTCCAAAGGAGAGATCAAGGGTTTGCACATCACCACCTGAGATTGGTCAGGCTGACTGTAGGGGCAGGGAGTCAACAGGATTCGTTCATAGAAACCGAGCCTAAAACACCTGTTGGAATTTTGGGGCTTCAGAAAATCTAGATTTAGAGAGAATACTTGGGAAGAGAGGATATAAATAAAAAGAAAAGGTTAAGGATTGCAGGTCAGTGTCTTAACTTAAAAGACCAATCTCATCTATTCTGTCATCTTTTAACGTGAATGCCAAAGATGTCCACCCTGGGATCACAGCACAAGTAAACACATGCCTCCTACAGAGAACAGCAGCTCTTACATAACACTCGGCAGGTGTACCAGCTGTGTACATTTTTTTTTTAAGATTTTATTTATTTGAGAAAGAGAGAATGAGAGACAGAGAGCATGAGCGGGAGGAGAGTCAGAGGGAGAAGCAGGCTCCTCGCCGAGCAGGAAGCCCGATGCAGGGCTCCATCCCAGGACTCCGGGATCATGACCTGAGCCGAAGGCAGTCGCTTAACCAACTGAGCCACCCAGGAGCCCCTGGCTGTGTACATTTTGTTTATTTCTTTCAAAAGATGAATACAGAACATGTACCCTATCACTGAATCAATGCAATCCAAATATAACTGTGCTAGAAATAGAAACATCCTTATGCAGAAACAGAAATGGCAAGACTGAACTTCTACACTTTCTTTACCTATCCTGTGCAAGAATGGAAAACATTTTTCTTTAGAAAGTGCAAAATACTATCTTTGCAGCAAAGATTTTAAGAGCTCTCTAGTGCTAGAGATCTTACAATCAGATAAGAGCAACCTTCTCTGTTCTTACTTTACAAGGGAAATAATAAATGATATTTGCATAGAACTTTATAAAGTGGGTTCAGCATTGGAATCAAACTTTTTATAATTATCTTTGTGATTATTTGATTGAAGTTTGTCTTACCTATGACAGGGGAGGCACCACAAATGAAGGAATCAGAGCTGTTTTTGCCTATACCCAGGTGCTGTTAAAATGAAGCTATGTCATATTCCTTTATAATTTCTGCTCAAAGCTTTATATATGCTACCAATCTTCACACTACCAAGTGTTTTTCTCAGGGAATAGTTTATGCAAAATTAGCTGAAGTTGAGTGATTGAATAGTATAATAATCTAATCTGAATGGTACCACTAATTGCAGCATATGTAGGCTAGGATGAGCTACAACAAGGTCACTCTCCAAGTAGGTATTCATAAACTAGTTATTAATGATGTAGATGAAAATGGATGTAGGTGAAAGCATGAATTAGTTTCTTTTTTAAAGAAATACCTGTTTGCTGCTAAGTACACCATTTTAGATAAACTATTTTATAGCTTCTCTACATGTTAATGGAAAGTTCCATAGAGATAACTTTATAGTATTATCTGAGGCATTTACAACTTTCTCTAGATAATTTTTCATGCATTTTCTATGACTTAAGTGAAGTAAAATAGCACAGTTTTTAGACTCCCATTTTTTCCCTCAAGACCTCCATGACCACTGAGGAGGAGCGTGAAGGGAAACATTAGACAACTGGTTTAAATGTCTCCTGACCAGCAGTTTCTGATTCAGCCTCTTCCTTTTCCCCACTAAATTTCCAGTCACATTAAAAAAAAAAAAAAAAAAAGAAATTACTGCCTTGGAGGAAAGATTAACATCAGGTCCCCCAAATTCTATAAAACTGAAAAAATATAACCTGAACTTATCACGAAAATTGCACATTTAAGCTACAGCTTGAAAATATGGAAGAACAGACCAGTCATAAGCTATCACTGTAACAAATAACAAGCATTTAAAAGTTAATGATTGTGGAATGAGATCTACTTAAATTTTACCTTGAAATTCAATGACAGTCAAGACAATCTGTTATCAAAAGGCTTTCTTTTGAAAACTGATTTTTCTCAATACATTTTTCAAACAAAAATACAGACTTAATAATAACATGGAAAGGTATAGAAAAGTATTTTGCAGATCAGCAACTTACCTCTTTGAACTTGTGACTGAGCTTGCTTGTGTCCAGGTCTGATGGGGAAAACACGTCCTCATTTTCAGGCAGCTCAAAGACTTCAATGGCCATGTCACCGCCAGGAAGAACAGGTCCTACTTCATCCTCCTCTTCATCTGTGGCATATTCTCCTGTCTGAAAGGAAGGGAATTTCAGAGATCCAGCTATCCTTACCCCAGGTAGAAGTGGGTTAATTGAAAATATTTTATAAAAGAGAAATAAAATACGTCACCAAATGGTGAAGTGTGAGTAGGCTTTTAAGTCAAGCATGCCTCATGCAGCCAATGTTATAAACAAATGTTAGTTCAAAGATCCAAAGTGACATGTCTATGCCATATGTAAGTGCATTCCTAAAAATCTAAGAGCATCAGCAGCATCTTTAGTATAGCAACAAAAGTTGTTTTCCATCTAAGTATGTGATGGTTTTGCGAAATAAACTTATATTGCTAACGGAAATAAGTAATTCCTATAAATCCCCACCACTGTGTGAATAAGTCACCCAATACTGAGAGCAGGGAAGAAGGAAGGGGAGTTCAAAAGATTCACAGAGCTGGAAAGGACCTTAAGTAAGCCTTACGAAGGTTTAGCAGATGGATTCTCCTAAGCTTTAGAGTTCAATCAGCTTTGTTTTGTTTGCTAACTAATGTGTTGGTGACCTAAAGGAAAACAGAGGTTTCTAACTTATAGCCCACAGAAGTGTACTGCTTTGCCTACATAGCATTTTGATAAATCTTAGTATTTTGTTGATGTTAAATAAAAAAATCACATGAGATTCTAGATTTCCAGTTTTTCTTGAGAAAGCCAAAGATCTGGCAATATGGGTATGTTGTGCCGTGAAGACAACTGGCTAGTCAGCAGTGGTTGCCCCTTTGGGATGGGTCCCACACCTTCAAATACACCAGAACTTTCGTAACTCCGTATTGTATGCTGTTAGCTTCACTCCTTCCTGGTACCCACAGGCCCCTGTAGCTATGTGAGTACATGGTCCCTGGAATAAATGATCCTCCATACCACTAACTTCCTTAACATTATTAGAAAGTAGCTCCTCTCTTGTCAGGACCAAGCTAGGAGGCTCTAATTCAAAACAATTGTTTGAAATCTATACCTTATGATATAATTTAAAGATAAATCATGGATTCACAGGGTCGAAAAACCAAGTTCATTTAATGAGTCCTTGTTCTTTCAGGTAGCATTCTATATAATATATAAAACAGACAGGAAATCAGATTGCCTTTAAAAACACTTTCATAAAGTGTGTGGAATGATCTATTCCTTTAATTAAATAGGCTTAGCATCTGATTGCTGTTTTTTTTTTCCTTTGGTTCCATACTATATCCTTCTTACGAAAGCTGAAATCCTATTTCTTTTACTGTTTCGCACATGAAGGAAATCTGGTCATTAACCTCAATGTAGTAATTCCTAATGTATGAAAGACCATTATTAAATTGCCGTCCTGATTTCTCCTTTCCAAGTAAAATAATTCTGGTTTCCTCTAGGTCTCATTCTCTGTCATTGTCTTTGTGCCTCTGCTCAGGCTTCTCTCGAAATTCTCCACACTTGTTTTAAATTATGGAGCCCAGAAGTAGGCACAACTTCCAGTGAGGAATCTGACCAGGATGGACAAACTGCCTCAGCATCCTGCAGACACTACTTCCTCACATGAAGGCTAGTGTCATGAGGACCTTGACTTCGGTGGCATTGCGTATAGAAGTAAGTTCAGTGTATCTCTGGGCTGAAATAGCTCCTCAGTACTCGGAACTCCTGGACTCTTCAGAAACTAGTCTGAAGATGTCTAAGCTCTAAATACCATTCTGAGTGTCTCTGGCACTGGCAGGAGAAGGTAGCTGAGCAGTGGGGGCTGCTGATTCTAGGTAGCTCCCACTCGTTGGTATGATTAGATCCTATAAATCTTAGAAGAACCCTAATTCCAGATTTGGTATGACTTTTTGTGATATTCTGTAAATTAACTCATCTCCTATTTATATATATTTTTGGAACCAATAGCTACTTTGTAAATCCCAGTGGTGTTAATTAATAGAAATGTAGTAAGGCTGGGAAGGACACAATCTTGATACCTTGATGAAAGTTTTGGTTTAGAGATATTAGACTGGGTGGGCTTGTTTTTAATCCTAATTACAACTAGCAGCAAAGCCACGCCTTAATTATAAAGGCCTAAACCAGATATATTAAACTCACTTCTACATCATCAATTTGATGAATTTCCTGAATGACTCCATAAAATCTTAAGCTAAATTTAAAGTCTGATGTCAATGTGGCACACTTTAAACATAAAGTTGAAATGATCAACTTGATTTCCCTTTGCCAGCTTGAAAATACTTCTTCACTATGTGCAAGGGAATGAAGACAAACATGTACCTAGAACAGGGCCTGACATATAACAGGATCTCAACAAATATTTTTAAAAGAATATATCCAAGAATGCCTATTGCACCTCCTTGGTAATATCTATAATCCCCTAAGGAGGTTTTCAATAATATATATATTTAAAAAAGTGAATTGCAAAAGGCATTTGTTAAGAAGGCAGTATTCTGTCACTTTTATTTTTTAACACTTCTTATAGTGAATAACAGGATTAGGGTATATACAATATATGTACAATATATGTACTTCTTATTTCTAAGTATAGTTCTGGCTTTGTCATCCATTTTAGTTATCAAAATTACATTCATAAATGTAAGTTATTAAGAATTCTTCCTCTTGATTCTTTTTTTTACTTTATCAGTCTCCTCTCCTCAATATCCAAATTATCTGCAATTCTGCTGAAATTCTTTTTATCTTTCATCTTTCTACCTACTAATGTTTTCTCTTTCTAATTAGTCTTAGAAGCATACTAAGGTCAAGATAATGTCTTTTAGCGTCTTGATGCTACTTATCACTTAGAGGTTCTGGATAGGGTGTTTAAAAACTATCGTGCCAGCGCGCCTGAGTGGTACAGTTGGTTAAGTGTCTGACTCTTGGTTTCGGCTCAGGTTGTGATCTCAACGTCTCAGGGTTGTGGGACTGGGCCTCGCATGGGGCTCTGCACTCAGCAGGGAGTCTACATGAGATTTTCTCTCCCTCCCCCCGCCCCTCCCCCACTGCGTGTGCACTCTCTCTCTCTCTCTCAAATAAATATTTAATAAAATAAAAACTATCATGCCAAGTGGAATTGAAAAAATGGAACAAATGAGCAAGGGAAAAAAAGAGAGAGGCAAACCAAGAAACTGACTCTTAACTACAGAGAACAAAGTGATGGTTACCAGAGGGGAGTTGGTTGGGGAATGGGGGATATAGGGGATGGAGATTAAGAATTGCACTTGTTGTCAAGAGCACTGGGTGTTGTATGGAAGTGCTCAATCACTATATTGTAAACCTGAACTAATACACTGTATGTTAACTAACTGGAGTTTAAATAAAAACTTAAAAAAAAAACAAACCCTATCTTGCCAATCTCTCTTGCCGATCATTTACCACTCTCAACATAAATAGGCTTTATAATAAAGAATGTATTTACTACAGAACCTCATAAACATTTAGAAGTTAAAAAGTTACATTTAGTAGACTAAAAATAATGTGTTCTCTTGATTGTTCTATCTGTATTGAAAATAGACATCACTTTTATGGTTAATCTGAAAATAAATTACATGGAATGATAGGTTAGCAGAATTTCATAAACCTCAAAAGTAGTTGGATTGAATCTGACATTTACAGAGGAAGATGGACAATATTGCATCAAAAAAAAAAATATGCCACAACAAAGTATTTCCATTGGTATCCATCTCCTTCTCTTTATTTCTGGCCAGATTCAGTATCTTTCAAGTAAACAGAGACTCTTGAAAGTCTTTTGTCCCAACCTGAAAATCCATTTTAAAGGAAGCGAGAATAGTGCTTAGTGTAAGAATTGACAGAGATAGTAAAGGTTCCCTTTCACAGCTCATCTACCTTCTTTTTTTTTTTTTTTTAAAGATTTTATTTATTTATTTGAGAGAGAGAGAATGAGAGAGAGCACATGAGAGGGTGGAGGGTCAGAGGGAGAAACAG